GTAAAAACAGTAAGAATATAAATATCCATATTAAATTAGTTAAAAAAAATACTATATAAAAAGACAATATACAATTCAAGATGATGGGGGGGGGCAGAATCAATTACCCCACCAGCCAATTCCAACAATGCCAGCCCGCATCAGGCCCCCAGGCCATCTGGCATAGCTAAGATTTCACACTCTTCCAGAAGGCCATGAGAGTGGGGGCACACCGCACCTCAGGTGGTAAGTTGTTCCACAGGGTGGGGGGCACAGCAGAAAAGTCCCTCTTCCTAGACCCCACCAGCTGAAATTCCTCGACTGGTGGGGTCCACAACATGCCTCTTCTGCTGGACCAAGTGGGGCGGGCTGATATAACGGGAGCAAGATGGCTCCTCAGATAACCTGGTCCTGTGCCAGGTAATAACCAACACCTTGAATTGGACCCGGAAGCAAACCAACAACCAATGCAGCTCGTGTAACAGAGGTGTTATATGTACCCCCCTGGGGGCATTCAAAACTTTCCACACCACTGTATTTTGTGCCAGCTGCAGCTTCCAGATACTCTTCAAGTGTAGCCCCATGTAGAACGCATTGCAGAAACCCACCTGGGAGGTGACCGGGCATGAGTTACTGCGTGGAGGGCCTCCTGATCCAGGAAGGGGCATAACTGATGTGCAACATGAAGTTGCGCAAAGCCCCTCCTAGCCACGACTGCCACCTGCTCTTCGAACAGGAGTCGTGAGTCTAGGAGGACCCCCAGATTACGACTGGGTCTGTCAGGGGTAGTGCAACCCCATCAAGAACCAAGGATGTTAAGCTCCTAGGTCTTGAGGTTCCCTGTATCCACAGCCACTCCGTCTTACCAGGGTTCAGTTGAAGCCTGTTGTCCCCCATCCAGGCCCCTATAGCCTCTAGGCACTGCATAATTATATGCTCTAAATAAATATCCATGATGAGACAAGTAGCATATTGTACAGGAAAGTGCAGCCATTTCCTGGACGACTTTCACAAGCACTTTCAGTGTGGTCTGCTTTCTAGAGGCTTCAAGCAGCTTGAACTTGTGAAAATAAAAAACTAAACTGAACTGAACTAAACAACTAAACTACAATCAGCAGATTACTTTGTAAGTAGCCAAACTATGTTGTTGACATGTTCACAGAACTGTAAGCGGACCTGCATATCTAGTTTCTGATCTTTCTGTATCAGCACAAAAGAGGTAAGAGCCACCACTTCCTGCAAGATATGATAATGGAGATGTCTAGAGGATTTCTGTTTGAGAAGAACCAGTGCTGACTCAGTTAACCACTGTGATGCATGCTGGTCTAAACTAGACAGGTTTTCTCCTAGAATGATACACTGAAAAAATGACTACTTTCCTTTTTTGCTTTGTCTGACCACTTCCAGACGTCTTCCAGTGTGTGGAAATCTAGTAAAGGACATAGAAAGAAATGCCATTAAAACACAGGTGAGGAAGTCTTGCTTTTGCTGTCCAATAAATCAACAGGTCAGCATACAGGATGCTGCTGGGAATATAACTGTACAGTCCAATGCATGAGACTTGATCACAATCAATTTCTGACACAATTTCTGATGAAAATCATATTTGGTATACAGGTAGTCCCCAGTTTAA